ACACAGAATTGTTACTGAGGGACACAGAATTGTTACTCAGGGACAGACACAGAATTGTTTCTGAGGGACACAGAATTGTTACTCAGGGACACAGAATTGTTACTGAGGGACACAGAATTGTTACTCAGGGACACAGAATTGTTACTCAGGGACAGACACAGAATTGTTACTGAGGGACACAGAATTGTTACTGAGGGACACGGAATTGTTACTGAGGGACACAGAATTGTTACTCAGGGACACAGAATTGTTACTCAGGGACACAGAATTGTTACTCAGGGACAGACACAGAATTGTTACTGAGGGAAAAAGAATTGTTACTCAGGGACACAGAATTGTTACTGAGGGACACAGAATTGTTACTCAGGGACACAGAATTGTTACTCGGGGACACAGAATTGTTACTCAGGGACAGACACAGAATTGTTACACAGGGACACAGAATTGTTACTGAGGGACACAGAATTGTTACTGAGGGACACAGAATTGTTACTCAGGGACAGACACAGAATTGTTACTGAGGGACACAGAATTGTTACTGAGGGACACAGAATTGTTACTGAGGGACACAGAATTGTTACTCAGGGACAGACACAGAATTGTTACTCAGGGACAGACACAGAATTGTTACTGAGGGACACAGAATTGTTACTGAGGGACACAGAATTGTTACTGAGGGACACAGAATTGTTACTCAGGGACACAGAATTGTTACTCAGGGACAGACACAGAATTGTTACTGAGGGACACAGAATTGTTACTGAGGGACACAGAATTGTTACTCAGGGACAGACACAGAATTGTTTCTGAGGGACACACAATTGTTACTCAGGGACACAGAATTGTTACTGAGGGACACAGAATTGTTACTCAGGGACACAGAATTGTTACTCAGGGACAGACACAGAATTGTTACTGAGGGACACAGAATTGTTACTGAGGGACACAGATTTGTTACTCAGGGACACAGAATTGTTACTCAGGGACACAGAATTGTTACTCAGGGACAGACACAGAATTGTTACTGAGGGACACAGAATTGTTACTCAGGGACACAGAATTGTTACTGAGGGACACAGAATTGTTACTCAGGGACACAGAATTGTTACTCAGGGACACAGAATTGTTACTCAGAGACAGACACAGAATTGTTACTCAGGGACACAGAATTGTTACTGAGGGACACAGAATTGTTACTCAGGGAAAGACACAGAATTGTTACTGAGGGACACAGAATTGTTACTGAGGGACATAGAATTGTTACTGAGGGACACAGAATTGTTACTCAGGGACAGACACAGAATTGTTACTGAGGGACACAGAATTGTTACTGAGGACATAGAATTGTTTCTCAGGGACAGACACAGAATTGTTACTGAGGGACACAGAATTGATACTGAGGGACACAGAATTGTTACTGAGGGACACAGAAGTGTTACTGAGGGACACAGAATTGTTACTCAGGGACACAGAATTGTTACTCAGGGACAGACACAGAATTGTTACTCAGGGACACAGAATTGTTACTCAGGGACACAGAATCGTTTAATTAAAGAGTATGTCAGACAACACGCAGAGGAGTGGCAGAGGAGGCAATGTTTTAGGAGCGAGCAGACGTGCAGCAGAGGAAGGGGTCGAGGCAGCACTAGTCGCAGCCAGAGGCCATTGCTCCCGGTGTCATCCAGCGGTCGTGTCTCCACCGACAACCCTGCCGTCATCGATTGGTTGGCTCGGTCGTCTTCCTCTTCCCAGGTCACCTCTGACACCTACAGCCAACGGTCGGTGGGTACGTCAGACACAACCGTTAGTTGGCATGGCCCGGGAGCAAGCCCACTGAAATCACGTGTCCTCTACCTGCCCCTGTCCTTTGGTGTTCCCTCACCAAGCGAAGTATCGCATGCTGTGGGCTCAGCCCCTCTGTACAGTGAGGAAGAGCTAACAGAGGGCGGTCAGGAACGGGGGGAGACATCCGCCTCTTCAGCAGCCAGGCGAAGAAGTAGTGGCGAGGAGAGTGGCTCGGTAGCCGGTCTAGAGACAGGTCTGTCTCCTGACCCACACGCAGCCGAGGGGGGTAGTAGTGAGGCGGAGACCCTAATTGATGATGATGAGGCTGATCGCACTTGGCAGCCTCGTCGTCATCAGCCTATTGCTTCCGCATCATCAGGAGAAGAGGGTGCCAGCTTGGCAGCGAGCAAAACAGTCGGTGGGTTTGCCCAGGAGGCAGCAGGGTCGCATCAGTGTCAGTGGAGGCAAACGGCCACGGAGTAGAGCACCAGCTCCACTGCAGCCTACCACCACGGCCAGTAGTGGTGCCGGTGTGCACGGAGAAGTAGCAGTCAGCCAGTGAGGAGTATCGGGGGGCAAAGTTTCCTACTCGGCGGTGTGGCAATTTTTCGTCAAGCCGCCCGAGGAAGTAAACGTAGCCGTATGTCGACTATGTGGCCAGAAAGTCAAGCGTGGCCAGGGGGCCCATGATGGGACTACAGCATTGCGGCAGCATATGCAGCGTCGCCATTTGGTGGCCTGGGAAAACCGTGATAAGATACGGCGGTTCTGCCTGCCCCAGCCCCCGCTCCATCACCCGCTCCGTTACTTGCTCCGTCACCCGACGTCAATCGCCCTCTATCAGCCAGTCAAGGCTCCAACACCTCTGCTGAGGGGAGTTGTCGCTCGTTGGCATCTTCCACTCGTTCAGATGCTCCTTCTCCTGCTACTCCTCTTCACGGATTCCGTCAGCAGTCTTTCTTGGAATCCGTTTCCAAGAGACAACAGTTTGCGAGCACGCACCCGACGGTGCAAAAGCTGAACGTCCTCCTGTCCAAGTTGCTGGTGCTGCAGTCCTTCCCTTTCCAAGTGGTGGACTCAGCACCTTTCCGAGAAATGATGGCTTTTGCCGCGCCGTGGTGGAGAGTGCCAAGCCGTCATTTCTTCGCCAAAAAGGCAGTGCCAGCCCTGCATTCACATGTAGAAGAGATGGTGGGCCAGTCTTTGAGCATGTCGGGGTCTCTGCCAAAGTGCACGGCAAGCGCCGACGTGTGGAGCTGTAACTACGGTCAGGGACAGTACATGTCATTTACGGCCCACTGGGTGAACGTGGTGCCGGCACAGCCGCACCCAGCAACTTGGACAGGTCACGCCGCTTTTGCCTCCACGTTTGCACGTCCTTGGTCCACAAAAGATGTCCGCCTCTACCACCTCTTCTTCCGCCGTGTCCTCAGCCGCCACCCCCCGTGCCAAGTCCCATTACCCGACCGGCATATCACATGTGCAGGGCGCAACAGTGTCACGCTGTGCTGCACCTGGTATGCCTTGGCGAACGTAGTCACACAGGGGAGGAACTTCTGAGTGTAATGAACAGAGAAATCGACAGATGGCTGTCTCCGCGCAAACTGAAAATCGGAACCATGTTGACCGACAACGGAAAGAACATGGTGTCTGCTCTGCGTCAAGGAAGGTTGTGCCATGCGCCATGCATGGCTCACGTGTTCAATCTGGTTGTCAAGCGGTTCCTAAAATCCACCATCCCACTGCAAGACATCATTAAAATGTCACGTAAACTTTGCATGCATTTCAGCCATTCCTACACCGCAAAGCACACCCTCCTTGAGCTGCAGCGGCAGAACGGAATTCCACAGCATCGCCTGATCTGCGACGTTTGCAACAAGGTGGAATTCAACCCTACACATGTTAGACCGCCTTTACGAACAGCGAAAGGCCATCACCGATTTCCTGATGTTACAAGCGGATAAAGGTACTCCCCTGTGTAACTTCGATGTCAGCCATTGGCAGCTCATGCGTGACACCTGCAGCTTGCTCAGGCCCTTTGAGGAGGCCACACTATTCGTGAGTCGGCAGGACTACGGGATGAACGACGTCATTCCTCTGTTGCACGTCCTGGAACAAATGCTGTTAACAATGGCTGGTCAGGGTGCGGTAGACGTGGCGCACAGATCTCAACGCCACATGACCCCTGTGGGGGCAGGACAGGAAGAAGAGGAGGAGGTAGAGGAGGACATTTGTGCTCAGGAATTATTGAGTGAAATGGGTGGTTTTTCCACTCAGCGGACAGGAGTGGAGGAGCAGGAGCATCTGGTAGAGGAGGAGGAGGAGGAGACAGAGGACCCAGACGCACCGTGGCAGTATGCTGTGGAGATGGAGGCAGGGAGTCCCCTCGCATTCCTTGGCACAAATGGCCCATAGCATGCTCGGTTGCTTGCGTAGCGACAGCCGAATAATAACCATCAGACAGAGGGATGACTTTTGGCTGTCCACCTTGTTGGACCCTCGCTACCGTTCAAAAATGGTGGCCTTTTTCACACTGCTGAGAGGGAGGCCAAAATAAAGTACTATAAAAACCACCTATATAGTCAGCTGGTCTCTGCCTTTCTGCGCCAACGTCCATCCTCAGACACTGTGGGCCCTGTGCGCTCAGCGTTCCGCTGCCATGGCAGCAGGGGAGGGGTGGGGTGGTAGGAGCAGTGGCAGCTCCACCAGCAGCGGCTGCCTCAGTCTGCAGTCGATGATGAGTAGCTTTCTTCACCAGCGCAGTGAGGAAACTACTAACCAGCCGCAGCAGCATCAGGTGGGACCTGGAGCAGGACCTCAAACAACAGGCTTGGGCCTACTTGGACAGCACCCTGCCAACCGAGGTAGACAATCCCCTTGACTACTGGGCAACGAAACTTGACCTTTGGCCCCAACTAGCTGAATTTGCCCTTGAAAGGCTGTCATGCCCGGCCAGTAGCGTGGCATCGGAGCGCGTGGTTAGTGCGGCAGGAGGTATTGTAACTCCGCGGAGGACACGACTGTCCACCCAAAGTGTGGAGAGACTCACGTTTGTGAAAATGAATCAGGCGTGGATTAGTCTGGATTTCAAACCACCAGTTCCTGACACAACTGACTAAATCCACCATGAATCATGCCCCAAACATGTGCCACTTTCAGGTCTCCTCACACTGCTGGTGTGTTCCATTTTGTCATAGGGTGCTGGCAGATTACGGGCCTCCCATTGCTGCTGCCAGGCCCGTAATCTGCCATGGGCCCCTGTACCACCTCCTCATGCTGCTGCCAGGTCCAGAGTCTCTCATGGGTCCCTGTACGGCCTCCCATTGCTGCTGTCTCCATCGCCACACTCTGCCATGTGCCACTTTCAGGTCTCCTCACACTGCTGGTGTGTTCCATTTTGTCATAGGGTGCTGGCAGATTACGGGCCTCCCATTGCTGCTGCCAGGCCCGTAATCTGCCATGGGCCCCTGTACCGCCTCCTAATGCTGCTGCCAGGTCCAGAGTGTCTCATGGGTCCCTGTACGGCCTCCCATTGCTGCTGTCTCCATCGCCACACTCTGCCATGTGCCACTTTCAGTTCTCCTCACACTGCTGGTGGTTTCCATTTTTGTCATAGGGTGCTGTATGGCCTCCCATTGCTGCTGCCTCCACTGCCACACTGTGGCTCCACACTCTGGTTTTGGCCCCGTGACTGCCCAAATGAGTGAAGTGTGCGGTGATTCTAAGATCGACGGCACTCATCTGCATGTCATACTGACTGACAGTATTATTTCTCTTCCCCAGCAGACTCCAAGGGCATTTAAATTAAAGGTACAGTGTTCTGCACTAATATAAAGGCTCTCTGAAGCCTAGAAACACCCTTTTATAAGTTAAAATCGCAGCGAATATATTCGCATCGAATCAAATTTATTCCTCGAATTCGCCGAATCAGCCGAATCAAATTTTTGAATACTTTGCTCATCTCTAATTATTATTTATGTTCTGTTTTTTTTTTACATACGGTCACCCTAGCAGTACAGTGTCACCATGGTGACACTGTACTACTTGTGGGGGGTGATAAAGATTTTTTTATTACACTGATTGCTTTTACACCCATAAAGGCTGTAAGAGGAATCATTTCTCCTTCTCTCTGGCTGTATTCCTGCAGCCATTGAGAAATACTGTGTGAGCTGTGATTGGTCACAGCTTGTCACATGGTACAAGGCTGTTGTGAATGGCCCTGTACCATATGATCTCTGTGATCATTCACAGATTTCACACGTAGTAAGCAATGATGTCAGAAGTACAAGAAACAACATGCCTTCCCAGCAACAACAAGAGACCTCCAAGAAACAACAGGCCCTCCCACCAACAACAATAGACCTCCAAGAAACAACAGGCCCTCCCAGCAACAATAGACCTCCAAAAAACAACAGACCCTCCCAGCAACAACAGACCTCCAAGAAACAACAGGCCCTCCCAGCAACAATAGACCTCCAAGAAACAACAGGCCCTCCCAGCAACAACAATAGACCTCCAAGAAACAACAGGACCTCCCAGCAACAATAGACCTCCAAGAAACAACAGGCCCTCCCAGCAACAATAGACCTCCAAGAAACAACAGGCCCCTCCCAGCAACAACAATAGACCTCCAATAAACAACAGGCCCTTCCAGCAACAATAGACCTCCAAGAAACAACAGGCCCTCCCAGCAACAACAATAGACCTCCAAGAAACAACGGGACCTCCCAGCAACAATAGACCTCCAAGAAACAACAGGCCCTTCCAGCAACAATAGACCTCCCAAGAAACAACAGGCCCTCCCAGCAACAACAATAGACCTCCAAGAAACAACAGGCCTTCCCAGCAACAACAATAGACCTCCAAGAAACAACAGGCCTTCCCAGCAGCAACATGAGACCTCCAAGAAACAACAGGCCTTCCCAGCAACAACAATAGACCTCCAAGAAACAACAGGCCTTCCCAGCAACAACAATAGACCTCCAAGAAACAACAGGCCTTCCCAGCAACAATAGACCTCCAAGAAACAACAGGACCTTCCAGCAGCAATAGATCCCCCCACCCCCAACAACAGACCCCCAGCAATACAATACCACCCCAGCAACAATAGATCATCAAGCAGCCAGCAGCAATAAATCATCCCCTCAACAGTAGATCCCTCCCAGCAACAACTGACCCCACCCCCAGTAAGATGACTCCCCAGCAACATTAGATCCACCAGAAAATAGCATCATCACACCCTCCAGCACCCCTTGCCATTACATACATTCAGTGCTGGAGGTGCCGGAACTGCGTTCCCCCGCATTCCCGTTGAAAAAAAGCCCTGGTTGTCACCCTGGAGCAGGAAGTTCCTGAACAAGGACCCTTATGGCAGGAATTATTTTAATAAAGCTGCAGATTTTAAAAAAAAAATGAAAATGAATTTGGCATGTTAAAGGTTAAAGAGGATTTTAGCGATGGGGTCTACATCGACTTTCACCTTGGCGTTGCGGCGGAGTTCAGAAGCTGCATTTTTCCTTACTGTACATTTTCTATACTGCAGGGTACATGGCAGATGAGACACATTGCAGCCCTCTCCAGCAGAAGATTAATATTGATCTGCAGCAGCAGCTCGCTCTTCTCGACGCGTGACGCTCCTGTGACTGATAAATTAAATTCATACATGGTGGGGGTGGGGGGAAGTCGTATTTAATGTGCCCCATTTTTCAACTAATCCAAAGGGAATCTTCAATAACGTGTCATGCTTCATACTGCAAGTCAAATGGGGGAACGGCTAATGAGCAATAATGTCCTCTGCACCTCATTGAGTCTCTTATATTTATACATACTTTGCATTTAAAATAGATGTGCAAGGCTGGTGCAGTGTGGACTCCGGAGGGGAGGACTGCAGAGGGCTGAATTAATTGGATATTCCACCTCGGGGATTACAGTTTGGTAGAAAGTTCACGCTGAAAATTGGAGCTGCGTTTATCAAACGGTAGACAGGCCTGCATGATGGGGAAATGCAAAGAGCAAAGGAAGAGCGCAAAGTGCAATGAGCCTTTGGCCAATCAGAGGTTAGCTTTCACTGGCGTGGCCATGGTTGGTATAGGCGTGAATCAGGGGTGTATTTACCGCAAGGCAAACCAGGCACTTGCCTAGGGTGGCATTTTTCAGGGGGGCAGCACCTCCCCCCTGAAGAAGGGATAAAAGAAGGGACACATTCTCCATGGGAATGAAGTGGGATTCAAGAGAGCCTGACTCTCGTTCCCAGGGATGTCCGGAGATAAAGATGAGTGTCTTTCTCCCTCTCGCCGGGGAGGGTAGTGGAAGGCTCTCCCAGGTAGGGGACAGGGGTGTTGTTGGTCAATGCCAGGCTTTCTACACAAGAGGGACAATGGGGGGGGTTTGATGTTGGTCGGTGTCCGTGGGGGCGGACAATTTTTTTATTGCCTAGGGCAGCACAAGACCTAAATACACCAATGGCGTGGATGTGTACGGATGTCAGGATACTAACTGGAACAGAGTCCCTACATGGACTGAGAAACCTGCATGGGCGTGCTCATTTGTGTGCTCATTTGTGTGCCTGAGATCTGCACGTGCCAGTGTGCATTTGAACATGTCCAATTCCAGAACTGTCCTTGTGATGGGAGTCACTTTGGGTGGGGGCCCATGGAACCCAGCTCACTTTGGAGAGGTGGGGAGACCCCTGTCTCTGCTCCCCTTATCCCTCTTATGTGTAAGTCACCCTGTGCCTGTTAGGGGTACAGGGTGATCTGTCCTAATATTTCCGTGGGCTTTGTCTCAGACTGTGTAGACATGTTTAGGAGATAGGTGGGGTGGGGGGTTGTTGATTGTTTAATGTTATGTGGCTGCATCCCATTGCTCTATTCAGGGGCAGACTGACAACTCATGGGGCCCCCGGGCAATAGGGGATCATGGGGCCCCTGTGTCCTTGCCCAAACTCAAAAAAGCCTATGAAAAAGGTACCAGGGGCATCTCAAGGGGGGCCAATACTGACCCCAGGCCCTCAGGCAGTGCCCGAGTTTCCAAATGGTCAATCCGCCCCTGGTTCTATTGTTTGTCTGGCCTGGGAGCAAACTATTATGGGATGTATGTGTTTATGTGTATTAGCTTAGTGGGGAGGGGGGGGGGGCTCCAACAGCCCTCCCTCCTGATGGGACTGACTGCTGGTGTGAAGTTTGAATACCTGTGTGTCTCCTGTTACTAAATGTAGATTGCCCCGCCCTGTGTCATTATGCAGGGAGGGGGATTGTCCCCTGAGTGTATATATCTTGTATCTGTGTTCAAATAAAGAGTTCCATGTTCAGACAGACTGGTGTCGTCTAGTCTTGTATGGTCGACTGTGGTGTCTGTTGTCTGTGTTTGGACTGGGAAGCGGTATTCTAAAGGAAGTACTGAAGCACAGTCTGGGTCGGTTCCGTTACAGCCCTAATAATCGAAAGGAGCTATGACTAGTAATTGCTGGATGATCTTCCGTTATCCGTGATCCATGTTCCTGTATATCCTGATTCCGTGCTACCTGATTACATGTCACTGACTTGACTTTTTCTTGGACTTTTTTCTGCCTGACTCCTGACCTTGACCTTGGCTTGTTGATAGACTTCACTTCCATCTGATTTTCCATGTGTAGCGCCCTCTAGGTAGATAGGATTTTTGTGGTTAGTCAGAGGCTTGTTAGAAGCCTGGGATGAGTCATCCTGGGAGTGAGGCAATGAGGTTACCTAAGGACTGGCTGGGAGGCTCTACCGGTTAGGGCTTCTGGAGCCCTCCCACCCTACTAGAAACTGCTGGAACTTTCTAGAAAAGGGGCAGAGGAGGGGAGGAGGCCTGGCATGGGGACTAGGACAGCCCTAAAATGTGAGAGAACCTGTACAGCAGGAGTTTTTGTTGTTGGAGTCGGGTAGAAGATGGACTGAAGGAAGGTGCTGGAGTGTGGAGCTTGGGAAGGGGCCCCAGGGAGGGGGGGGCTACCTACAGGCTAGAGCAGACAGTAGGATCTCCACTGCCCTACTGTCTCCTAGTGAGGACAGACTGCCAGCAGGGAAGAAGCCAGCCCAATGTAAGGCCTGAAAGCAACTGCAACCCACTAAGCTACAGGAAAAGGACAGTGTGAGTGCTTCTTCACCCCCTAGTCCACAGAAGGTAGAGGGTGGTCAGGTGCAATACCCAACTAGTTCTCATCTGGGACTAGCCTGCTGGAGATCTTGGGAACCCTTGCCAAGGGATACCCTCAGGACAGCTGGATGGATGAGGAGAGTTTCGTCTGGATTCTAAGGAGGTACATCAAAAGGGGACTCACTGCTCCTTGCTAAAGACTGTTGTTTTTTTTTGGTCTGCATTTTTGTACAGAAGTTGTCCTCAAAGTTCCTTGGGCATCCCAAATATCCCTAAACCCTATCCAAGTTGTCAACCCCTAATAAAAACAACAAAAACAAGCTCAAGGACTGTTTTACTGACTCTGAGAGAAAGTGTGGAAAATGAATGTTGCCTGGCTGTGCAGAGTTTAGGGGGACCCAGCAAAATCCAGCGGCCCTCAAGGGGGTAGTAGCACTAAACATGTATGACCTTGACCCTGGCTTGGCTCCAAGACAATATCTGCTCTTCCTACCTAGAACAGAAAAACAACAAAGAACGGTGCAAACAAGCACACCAAAAGCACACAAAATCCCTTTATCATGATGATGGCCAGGTTATCCTCCACGTGGGGAATGTCTGCAATGCAAACACAAAAGAAAAGGGGGGCGCCTTCTAAGTGTAGCATAAAAAGATCCGTTTAAGGTGGTTGTAAAGGCTCAAGTTTTTTACCTTCATGCGTTGTGTGCATGGAGTTAAAAAACCTTCTGTGTTCAGCAGCCCCCCCCAAGACTTACTTGAGCCCCATCTCGATCCAGTGATGTGCTTGAGATCCTTGGCTGTCCTGGGTCTCTCCCTCCTTATTGGCTGAAACAGTTGAGGAAAGTGGAAAGACAGCGCTGGACCCAGAGGTTTGTTTTCCTGGTATTGTTATGTTAAGGTATTGATGTTGGTGTCAATGATCTGGGCAGGCGGCTTCTACACAACAAACACTTTTCTCCTGCGCTGGGAATGGACTCAGCAGAAACAATGTGAATGTTCTGGAATATGCACTGCTTGCTGCCCTCAACAGACCGGGGTGGTCCAAAGTCACTAAATGCAAATGAAAAAAACAAAAAGAGGGCGTACCGGCCTAGTGCATTATCGTTTAAAAATATTTATTGAGAGAAAAAGGTAAGTATCATACTCACAATGGACATATAAAACACAGGCATATCACAATGAACAAGGTGTTCAATCCATATAGCATCTGAGTCCATACAATGGAACCCTGGATGACCAACCTTCTGACGTGTTTCGAGGACTCAGCCTCGTCCTCAGAGCTTCTACACCCCAGAGGATCTCCATGGTCTCCTTGGCTTGTAGTGTAATGTAAGAAGAGTTGAAATTGAAGCGCCATGTCACTGCTAAAAGGTCCAGATGCAGCTTTATTCCATGAAAGGTCAAGGGTTCAATTGAAGAAGTTTTCAACTCGTTTTGGGGATCTAAGTGCCCCCTTCATCAGGGCTTGACTGCCTACAAAGTGAACAAACCAGAATTGAACTGGACCTGCAATGGAATTTATTCCAGGGTGAATCTAAAGCATAGGCCGGATCAGCAGCTTTTTTGGCAGCCTCATTGGCTGAGACAGCAGTGGAAGCCATTGGCTCCCGCTACTGTCAATCACAGCCAGTGAGCTAATGGGGAGAAAGTGGGGAGCCTCGTCTGTGTGTGAATAGACACTCAGGGCAGTGGCTCGGGAGCGGGCCTGCTTGGGCGCCCCTATGGCGAGCTGAAAAACTATGAAAATGGTGCAGCGCTGCTAATATTCATTAAGACAATGCATACGGAGCAAATAAAACAACACAAGTAAATCAACCCCCTTGTGACAGCATAAATAGCATATATCAATCACTGGTGTCAAGGTGCAAATTGACACACACTTAGTAAGTGACTAAGGGGTGATAAACAGTCCAATATGAGCACACGGGTGAGGAACTCTTCACACGTGGATGTGTCATACGTGCCACAGGAATCCCAAAACAATCTGAGTGCCCCCTCACCTCCTTGCAATGACCTCAAGGGCCAACCAGCTTTCAACAGATAGTCAGGCAATCTCCTGTTGATCCGGAATGATGGTAACTTTAGCCAGACCTCTTCCACCGCTCTAACGACACCTCTATCTTCCACTCAGAGACATAAACCAAACAGGCTCCATAGTGCAATATATCCAATTTATTAAATAAAAACAAAATACCCACTTACATGTAGGCAAACGATCGCACACAGTAATCGGCTGTCCTACTGACATGCGGCTTCATGGAGTCCCAATATGGCGCGGACGCCGGAACAACAGGAGATTGCCTGACTATCTGTTGAAAGCTGGTTGGCCCTTGAGGTCATTGCAAGGAGGTGAGGGGGCACTCAGATTGTTTTGGGATTCCTGTGGCACGTATGACACATCCACGTGTGTAGAGTTCCTCACCCGTGTGCTCATATTGGACTGTTTATCACCCCTTAGTCACTTACTAAGTGTGTGTCAATTTGCACCTTGACACCAGTGATTGATATATGCTATTTATGCTGTCACAAGGGGGTTGATTTACTTGTGTTGTTTTATTTGCTTCGTATGCATTGTCTTAATGAATATTAGCAGCGCTGCACCATTTTCATAGTTTTTTAGTTTATGGTATATTGGTACATAGTAGGTGTTAGCAGCTTTTATTACTATTAGGGTCATCTAAGCGCAGGGGTTCTTTCATTTATTTTTCCTATAGCGAGCTGCTTGCTGTCGGGGCACTTGGCAGGAGGGAGTGTCAAGGACAGGGGCAGACTGACCATTTGGAAACTCGAGCAGTGCCCGAGGGCCCGGGGTCAGTAGGGGGCCCCATGAGATGCCCCTGGTACCTTTTTCATAGGCTTTTTTGAGTTTGGGCAAGGACACAGGGGCCCCATGATCCCCTATTGCCCGGGGGCCCCATGAGTTGTCAGTCCGCCCCGGGTCAAGGAGCACAGATTGGGGACCCAAGAAGAGGAGGACTGGGGCTACTCTGTGCAAAACCATTACACAGAGCAGGTAAGTATCACGTTTGTGTTTTATAACAAAACATTTAAACATTTAAAAAACAAATCTGCTTTTAAAATCACTTTAAATGAATAGTCATTGGCAACTCACTTATATGTGAAGAATAAGTGCACATCAGAAGAGTTGGAGTACCCAGGTGGAGCATCGGCGTGTGACGTCATCACATTCTTTTGGAGGGCCATTTTCTTGGTTGGAAACTTAATACAAATGCTGATAACCATCCATAACAATGTACGAGTAACTTGAAATTAAACAGGGTGAATGTATTACTCAAATACTACACTATGAGTGTTTTTTCTCTTTTATCCTTTACTTACAGTTGCAAGAAAATGTATGTGAACCCCTTGGGATTACGTGGAGTTTTGCATGAATTGGGCATAAAATGTGCTCTGAACGTCATCTAAGTCACAACAATAGAAGAACACAGTCTGCTGAACATAATACTACACAAACATTAGATGTTGCCATGGTTTAATTGCACATAACATGTAAACATTCACAGTGCAGGGAGGAAAAAGTATGTGAACCTTTGGACTTAATAACTGGTTGACCCTCCTTTGGCAGCAATAACCTCAACCAAACATTTCCTGTAGTTGCAGATCAGACCTGCACAACGATCTGGAGTCATTTTGGACCACTCCTCTTCACAAAACTGTTTCAGTGTAGCAATATTCTTGGGATGTCTGGTGTGAATCTCTCTCTTAAGGTCATGCCACAGCATTTCAATGGGGTTGAGGTCAGGACTCTGACTGGGCCACTCCAGAAGGCGTATTCTGTGCTGTTGCAGCCATTGTTTTGTTGAATGACTTGTATGCTTTGGGTCATTGTCCTGTTGCATCACCCATCCTCTGTGGAGCTTCAGTTGGCGGACAGATGGTCGTACGTTTTCCTGCAAAATGTCTTGATAAACTCTGGAATTCATTTTCCCATCAATGACAACAATCCGTCCAGACCCTGAGGCAGCAAAGCAGCCCCAAACCATGATGCTCCCTCCGCCATGTTTTACAGTGGGGATGAGGTTTTGATGTTGGTGTGCTGTGCCTTTTTTTTCTCCACACATAGTGTTGTGTGTTCTTCCCAAACAACTCAATCTTGGTTTCATCTGTCCTCAGTATATTTTGCCAGTAGTGCTGTGGAACATCCAGGTGCTCTTTTGCAAACTTCAAACGTGCTGCAATGTTCTTTTTGGACAGCAATGGCTTCCTCCGTGGTGTCCTCCCATGTACTCCATTCTTGTTTAATGTTTTCCTTATTGTAGATGTGTCAACAAAAATGTTAGCATGTGCCAGAGATTTCTGTAGGTCTTTAGCTGACACTCTGGGATTCTTCTTTACCTCATGCAGCATTTTGCGCTGTGCTCTTGCAGTCATTTTTACAGGACGACCACGCCTAGGGAGAGTAGCAACAGTGCTAAACTTTCTCCATGTGTAGACAGTCTGTCTTACCGTGGACACATGAACATCAAGGCTTTTGGAGATACTTTTGTAACCCTTTCCAGCTTCATGCAAGTCAACAATTCTTGATCGTAGGTCTTCTGAGAGCTCTTTTCTGCGAGGCATGGTTCACATCAGACAGTGCTTCTTGAAACCAGTAAACCCAAAACAGGTGTGTGTTTTTTAAGGGAAGGACAGCTGTCAGCAACACATCCAATATCATCACACTGATTGGAGTCAAGGTTGGCTCACTCCTGGCTCCAATTAGCTCTGGGAGAAGTCATTAAGCTAGGGCCTCACATACTTTTTCCTCCCAGCACTGTGAATGTTTACATGTTATGTGCAATTAAACCATGATAACATCTAATGTTTGTGTAGTATTATGTTCAGCAGACTGTGTTCTTCTATTGTTGTGACTTAGATGACGTTCAGAGCACATTTTATGCCCAATTCATGCAAAACTCTACGTAATCCCAAAGGGTTCACATACTTTTTCTTGCAACTGTAAATAATGGACGTGAGTATTCTTTTAGGAGCAACTTCAGATTCTTAAAGGAGAAGATTGATATCAACCTGGATGAGGATTGCTGATGCCATGATTCATATGTTCATCTCCCATTGGAGTTGCCTATATTGACCAGTGTTTAATTTCAAGTTACTCGTACATTGTTATGGATGGTTACCAGCATTTGTATTAAGTTTCCAACCAAGAAAATGGCCGCCTTCCCTCCAAAAGAACGTGATGACGTCACACTCCAAAGCTCCACCCAGGTGGAGCTTCGGCGTGTGACGTCATCACGTTCTTTTGGACAAGAGTATTGGACGAGAGTATTAGACAAAAGCATTCTTTTAGGACCAACTTCAGATTCTTAAAGGAGAAGATTGATATCAACCTGGATGAGGATTGCTGATTCCATGATTCATATGTTCATCTCCCATTGGAGTTGCCTATATTGACCAGTGTTTAATTTCAAGTTACTCGTACATTGTTATGGATGGTTACCAGCATTTGTATTAAGTTTCCAACCAAGAAATTGGCCGCCTTCCCTCCAAAAGAACGTGATGATGTCACACTCCAAAGCTCCACCCAGGTGGAGCTTCGGCGTGTGACGCCATCACGTTCTTTTGGACAAGAGTATTGGACGAGAGTATTAGACAAAAGCATTCTTTTAGGACCAACTTCAGATTCTTAAAGGAGAAGATTGATATCAACCTGGATGAGGATTGCTGATGCCATGATTCATATGTTCATCTCCCATTGGAGTTGCCTATATTGACCGGGGTAATTCGGTCAGAATTTCTGGTAAGAGGCGTAACCATTCGGGTGTCCTGGTGATGGTGGATCGTGGGAATATTTTTGGGACTTTTTTGAATTGGAACTTTTATGTTTTATTGAAATTTTTTTGTTTGTGATTAGCGCTGCATTTTTTTAATATTTTGTATTTAAAAATACAGTAAAATTGGCCCCAAACCATTCTACGACGATGCTTTTTCCGCAATATTTCTGTTCTCCCCTTGTCATCAGTCCATCTTATCAGAAAGTTTAAATTAATGATTGATTTCTTGCCAGGGGTTGTTATTTTAAGCACTGTATAGATTTTTGAAGGCCTGTTTTTTTGATGTGTGTTAACAGGGGGGCTTCCCGAGTCCAGAAGGTAAAGGAAGAACTAATATTAAGCTACACCTGCATAGAGATGACATTGATTTTGTTTTGCATTCATTGTTCTGGAGTTAATATTCCTCTAACCGCTCCAGGCCATAAATGTCAATCACCTGCCACCGCCAGGCCAGGCAATCCGATCCATACAAATTAAGGATCGCGCTAAAGGAGGAACCGTCCAGGACGACCCTCTTGGACTATTATTTGATCAGCACAGAGAAAATCCTTGACAGAGGGGATCTCGGGGTACCTAGTATGATGAATAGCAATAGCTTCATTAGGAGAATCAACTATTCACAATTTTTTTTATTTTTTAACTTGCGGTGAATCAATGAATTCAAGAATCCAGGACATTTTGAGTATTGTAGCACCCTTCTATATAGCGTGCTAGGTTTTGGTTAGGCAAATTAAATTTTTCGCTCTCTTTTATTCAGTGGAGCAGTGTGTGTGATTGCTTTGGGCTGCTCTGGGTTCTGCAGGCTACAGGTTTGACTTCTTCCCTTTTTTTTTTTTTTTAAGATTTCCAGAACATAGTGGGTGAGTCTGAATGTTTACTCGGCTCCAGCCAGGTGTGCCTAGATAGTGGTTGGGGAATGCCTAAATAGTTTGGGACCCTAGAGAGCAGGGTTATTTTCCCTGGAGGAGAGGTTCCCAGCCAGGAGAGCTGCCTGCCCTTCCTGGTCATCCTGCTGAGTATCTAGATTGTTCATCGAGGTTCCAGCTGTGCTCAGTTGGGTGCCTATCAGTATACAAGTTCCTCGGAAGCCAAAAGGAGGGGTGCCACTGAGGATCCTATTTGGGAACTCTACAGAGGAGTCTGGCTACTGGAGTCTGAAGGACACATCCATGCCTTGGGGGCATTGTGAGTACAGACCAGAGAGAGAGATTGTAATGGAACTGGACCCAAACTGCACTTGGGTATTTCCGTTAGACTCCAGCTTTCCTGTTCGGACACAGATCCCGGACACCACCACTGACCATACAAGACTAGACGACACCAGTTTTGAAATAACTCAGGAAATAGACTGCTTTATTTTAACACAGACACAAGATATATACATTCAAAGGAACAACCCCACCTCCCTGCATAAGGACACAGGGCGGGTGTGACGGGAGTGACTTTTGGGGGTGGGGGGACCCCTGTATCATCTCCCCAAATCATTATGTTTAACCCACCCTGTGCCTGTTTAAGGGTACAGGGTGTACATGTGAATGTCCCAGTATTGTGCATTTGTGTGTTGTCCTTTGTCTAGGCCACATGGCTGTCCATTGTCTGTTTGCCATGTGCTACCCCCCATTGTGCTGTGTCTTCCTGTCCAGCCAACTATTATGGGATGTACTGTTTGTGTATTGGTGTGGGGGTTGGTCAATATCCTTTGCCATGTGTTTCATCCCATTGTTCTGTGTCTTGGGTTGGTTGGGGTGGTTCCCTGTAGCCCTTCCCACTGATAGGGTGGGCTGATGATGTATTTCCTGTTCCTGGTTGTGTTTCTCCGCCCTCTGTATATATTCTGTGTTTTGTGTTAAAATAAAGAGTTGGCTTTCTGTTTTAAGAGCTGGGTGCTGTCTTTTTCCTGAGGGATTTCAAGGGCGTGGTCCATGGATGGTGTTCGGACAGGGGAAGTTGTGCTATAACGGAAAAACTCAGTGCGGTCTGGGTTCCGGTTCCGTTACATTGGTGGCAAGCGGTGGGATTGTGCTTCCAGCTGTAAACACATCCAAACCACCACCGGGATTCAAGATCAGGAAAGGAGACGTCAGTCACCCCAGTGGAGATATGGACCTGGCATCAGAGTTCCCAGGGCTGCTGCAGATCATCCTTGCAACATACCCCAGGGCTGTGTCTACGGATCAGTACCTGGAGCTCAGGCAGCGGATTTGGGAGGTGCTTTGGAGAG